GGTCACCATAGCGCCCTGTACGCACCATCAAGTCAAGACCAAACACTGACTGTGGTAGGTTTACAAAATGTTTGTTTGGAAAATACAATTCTAATATTTCGACAAAATTAAAATGAATTTCAGTACCAATTAATCGCATTTACAACATCATTAAATTTAAACGTCAGTAGCAAAACAAGTGATAGAATAATTCCATACATATCATTCAACTATGTTATACAAACTATTTTTGTTTTAAATAATGATGTTCATAAAAATCATTCTTGTTACTTGCAAAGTCTCACGCAGCGACATTGTGGTCAAATGGAGGTGTTCCAGGTGAAAAGTTAATGATTGGTGTCGGTACGTACGGACGAAGCTTTACCTTATCGACTGCAGCATCAGGTATAGGGGCACCAGCTGCTGGGGCTGGTACAGCAGGAACGTACACTAGTGAGGCAGGCTTTTTGTCTTACTATGAAGTAAGTACTCGTTTATTACTTCCTCATGCAGTCGTATGCCTTTATTATTTAAATGATATGATTAAATAAGCAAATCAATTTATTGACGTAAACTATCCAACTTTTAAATACTTGGAAGGTTATAACTTATATCAAGAGCAATAAGTTGTAATTCTCTTACCTAATGGTGATTATATATTTACAGATATGTGACATGCTACAAACTGGTGGCACTGTTGTACATGACGACAGTCTACAAACTCCATATGCTTACAATGGTAACCAATGGGTTGGATATGACGATACTGAAAGTATAGCAAGAAAGGTTAGTACGAGTTTTAAAATTAATTCAATGAATATAAAATAAACAAACTATTCCATTATTTATATGCTATTTTAAATATTAATTCATTATTCATATGTGATTTGGTATTTATTTGAGATTGAAATGTTTATAATTTCCCCATTTTTACAGACACAATGGATAAAAGATAACGACTATGGTGGTGTTATTGTGTGGGCACTCGATCTTGATGACTTTAGTAATAGTCACTGTAGTGAAGGACCATATCCTTTATTAAATGCTATTAAACAAGGCTTGGAAAACGACGATGATGCTAATAACTCTACTGAGGAACCGATCATTCCGGAGATAACTGAAGAACAAGTGACTGAGCAAACAGACTCAACAACTGCCAGTGAATCTGAAAACACAGTAGAAGGTATTAATATGAATTATTTATTAGAAATTTCATATTGAAATGAAATTATATAGGCCTACCATTTATTTCATTTTTATTTATTTTTTTAATAGATTCTTCATCGTCATACAAGAGGATATGTTACTACACTAATTGGGCTCAGTATCGTTCTGGCAACGCGCAATACACTCCAGACGATATAGCCGCGTATATTTGTACACATATTGTTTACGCATTTGCCTTTATGAACGATCAACATGAGCTGATCCCTTTTGAATGGAATGATGAAGACACTGATTGGTCTCAAGGAATGTATTCTAAGGTATATTTCGATTAATATCATACTGCAAATTGTTGTATCGATTCTTTGCCTGTTATAGTGATTTAAATTACACCAAATCTCAATAATATATATACTGTAATATTTTTAAAAAAAAATGAATAAATATATTTTAGGTAAATGCACTGAGGGAAGTAAACAACGACTTGAAGGTTCTCTTGGCCTTGGGAGGCTGGTCGTTTGGTGTTGCTAAGTTTTCAGCTATGGTTTCTACGTCGGCCAATCGTGCACATTTCATTTCGACATCCATAACTTATCTGAGAGACAGAAATTTTGACGGACTTGATTTAGACTGGGAATATCCAGCGGCACGTGGAAGTCCCGCTATTGACAAAGAGCGTTTTACTTTACTTGTACAGGTAATGTAGACAAAAATGTTGATATTTTTTTCAAGATATTTGTAACTAGTATATAATAGACTCTTTGATAACAGTTGCAATTTAATTTTGCCATATAGTACCCTTGATGAGCCCATAAAATTATATGGTATCAATATAAATGCTCAATACTTATAACTAAATAAATATTAAATACAATTATCTAACATAGGCCTAATTGTTAATATTCGATAGGAGCTACGCCAGGCATTTGATGCGGAATACGATGGGAGTAAAGAAAAGTTACTGCTTTCCGCAGCAGTAGCAGCCGGCGAAGACACTGCTACAAATGGGTACGAAATGGCAGAAATAGCAAAGTAAGTCTTTAACTTATGTTTATTTTAGTGTTGGAGGAATTCGAAAATAACACAATTATCAATTGGGTTTTTTTTTGTACACTTTTGAACATAAAAGAGAAATTACAATGCATGCAAGAAATCAGTGTAAAATTCGAAGTGAGAATAAATTGAATATTTTTTGTGAGCAAAAATATTTGTTCGTTTTCCAGGCACTTAGATTGGGTGGGAGTGATGTCGTATGATTTACATGGTTCTTGGGAATCGCAGACCGGTCACCATAGCGCCCTGTACGCACCATCAAGTCAAGACCAAACACTGACTGTGGTAGGTTTACAAAATGTTTGTTTGGAAAATACAATTCTAATATTTCGACAAAATTAAAATGAATTTCAGTACCAATTAATCGCATTTACAACATCATTGTAAACGTCAGTAACAAAACAAGTGATAGAATAATTTCATACATATCATTCAACTATGTTTTACAAACTATTTTTGTTTTAAATAATGATGTTCATAAAAATCATTCTCGTTACTTGCAAAGTCTCACGCAGCGACATTGTGGTCAAATGGAGGTGTACCAGGTGAAAAGTTAATGATTGGTATCGGTACGTACGGACGAAGCTTTACATTATCGACTTCAGCATCAGGTATAGGGGC